CTTGGTGGTCTCACCTGGTCACACCTGGTCACACCTGGTCTCACCTGGTCACACTTGGTCACACCTGGTCACACCTGGTCTCACGTGGTCACACTTGGTCACACCTGGTCACACCTGGTCCCACCTGGTCCCACCTGGTCCCACCTGGTCACACCTGGTCTCACCTGGTCTCTCCTGGTCACACCTGGGCACACCTGGGCACACCTGGTCTCACCTGGTCACACTTGGTCTCACCTGGTCATACTTGGTCACACCTGGTCCCACTTAGTCCCACCTGGTCACACCTGGTCTCTCCTGGTCACACCTGGGCACACCTGGGCACACCTGGTCTCACCTGGTCACAGTTGGTCTCACCTGGTCACACCTGGTCCCACCTAGTCTCACCTGGTCACACCTGGTCTCACCTGGTCACACCTGGTCACACCTGGTCTCACTTGGGTACACCTCATCAGTGACACCTCACACTCACCTGCTCGAAGGCCCGGGCGTAAAGAGGCAGGGCGGCGTGCGCAGGGAAGATCCCGGCACAGTCACATGGCGCCTCCTTAGTGGTCCGCTCATGAGGCGCGCTGTCAGTGCCGAGAAAGCAACGAGTGCTGCCGCCCGTCACTGCTGCCACTATCGCTTGGCCTGGTAAGAGGGAAGGAGGAGGGAGGAGGAGGGAGAAGGAGGGAGAAGGGTTGAGAAGGGAGAAGACAGATGTAGGGCCGTGTTTGTGTTCTTCACCTGTGATTCTCTTTCTTCTCTCGTTGGTGTGCATGCCATGCTAATCCCTCCTCGCAGCAGGTGAAACTTCCGGTGTGTCTCTCTCTCATGAGCACAGGAAGGCAGAAGGGGTGTGGCCAAATGCCCCCAGCAAACAGAGCACTGAGGTTCCTCAGCGGGTGCTGCGGCGTCACTGTAGTAGCCACCCGCCCCTCAGGTGCTGCAGGGTCACTGTAGCAGCCACCCGCCCCTCAGGTGCTGCGGGGTCACTGTAACAGCCACCCGCCCCCCAGGTGTTGGGGCGTGAAGTGAAAGGGCAGACAGAACTGGGAGAGGGAAACTCATAGTGAGTTTCTCGCTTGAGCACAGGCAGGGAGAAGTGGTGCGGCCGAATGCCCCCAGTGAACAGCGCGTTGCGGTTCCATAGCAGGTGCTGCGGCGTGTCCCTCCCTTTCGCACTCTGAGAACATGCATTCAGGTGATTTTCTCTTCTGCCAGAGGGGCACAGCGGGACTCACGATGCGTTTCCCGCTTGAGCACAGGCAGGCAGAAGTGGTGGGGCCGAATACCCCCGGAGAACAGCGCATTGCGGTTCCACAGCAGGTGCTGCTGCAGTCTCTCTCCTCATAGTGAAACTTACGGTGTGTCTCCCGCTTCAACACAGGCAAGCAGAAGTGGTGCGGGCGAATGTGTTTCTGCTGCAGCTGATCAAACGGCAGAGAGTCATGGGGCAGGCCGGGGCATAGAGACACAGAGACACTGAGCCATAGAGCCACGGGGCGGGCAGGGGTGTAGTTTAGCGGCACTGGGCCAGCGGGTCATGGGGCGGGCTGCGGTATAGAGGCCTTTTGCGGCACCTCGAAGCTGGGCCTGTGCTCTCTTGGAATGTGTTCTTACTGCAGCTGATCAAACGGCACAGGGTGATGGGGGGGCAGGCAGGGGAGTGATGTTATAAGTGTGGGATGGGGCCAGGCAGGGGGCATAGCGGTACTGAGTCATTGGTCAGACGGGCAGATAGATGTGTGGTGGGGCGTGTCATGGGGGCGTGTCATTGGCGGTGATGCTTACAGCATGGCATGGAGCAGACAGGTTAGGGCGACAGAGTGTTGTGGCGCCTCAGAAGTAGCACCAGATAACTGACTGCCCTGACATGAGGTTTGCGGCTCTATATGCATCGAGGAGCACGTTGCAACATATAGCTCAGCTCACACGCGCCGCGCCAAGCTAACCGTCTCATGTCTTGTAGGTTGTGAAGCTTATCAAGCATTATAACAAACAGAGCAAGAGGTGACCATGAGAGTGTACCTATTTATTGCAAGCTCTCTATTCGAGCCTCATGAAGAGTCAAGTGTACTGCGCTGCTCTATTGTTGTGATGCCCATGAGGCAAACTGGATCAAGCATCACAGTACAGTTAACACCTTCACCCAACGTAATTATTGGACATATATAACCAGCACCTGCCACTACACCTGCCACTTCAGCTGCCACTTCAGCTGCCCCCTGCAAGCATGCACCTATGGCAGGTCCTGGGATCCCCCACTGCTGCCCGGGTATGAGTTGGGCGCGGCCCAAGGGGGCGAAGCAGGGTCAGTGGGAATGAGCCAGGCTTGATCTAGGCTTGGTTCGGATCGGAACTTATGCTTGGTTCGGTTGTCAGAGGGCAGCACCTGCCCTGCCACTCTAGCTGCTCGCCTGCCAGCATGGGCACGAGGGAACTTCTGAGTCGACTCAAAAGTCATCTAGCTGCTCGCCTGCCAGCATGGGCACGAGGGAACTTCTGAGTCGACTCAAAAGTCATCTAGCTGCTCGCCTGCCAGCATGGGCACGAGGGAACTTCTGAGTCGACTCAAAAGTCATCTAGCTGCTCGCCTGCCAGCATGGGCACGAGGGAACTTCTGAGTCGACTCAAAAGTCATCTAGCTGCTCGCCTGCCAGCATGGGCACGAGGGAACTTCTGAGTCGACTCAAAAGTCATCTAGCTGCTCGCCTGCCAGCATGGGCACGAGGGAACTTCTGAGTCGACTCAAAAGTCATCTAGCTGCTCGCCTGCCAGCATGGGCACGAGGGAACTTCTGAGTCGACTCAAAAGTCATCTAGCTGCTCGCCTGCCAGCATGGGCACGAGGGAACTTCTGAGTCGACTCAAAAGTCATCTAGCTGCTCGCCTGCCAGCATGGGCACGAGGGAACTTCTGAGTCGACTCAAAAGTCATCTAGCTGCTCGCCTGCCAGCATGGGCACGAGGGAACTTCTGAGTCGACTCAAAAGTCATCTAGCTGCTCGCCTGCCAGCATGGGCACGAGGGAACTTCTGAGTCGACTCAAAAGTCATCTAGCTGCTCGCCTGCCAGCATGGGCACGAGGGAACTTCTGAGTCGACTCAAAAGTCATCTAGCTGCTCGCCTGCCAGCATGGGCACGAGGGAACTTCTGAGTCGACTCAAAAGTCATCTAGCTGCTCGCCTGCCAGCATGGGCACGAGGGAACTTCTGAGTCGACTCAAAAGTCATCTAGCTGCTCGCCTGCCAGCATGGGCACGAGGGAACTTCTGAGTCGACTCAAAAGTCATCTAGCTGCTCGCCTGCCAGCATGGGCACGAGGGAACTTCTGAGTCGACTCAAAAGTCATCTAGCTGCTCGCCTGCCAGCATGGGCACGAGGGAACTTCTGAGTCGACTCAAAAGTCATCTAGCTGCTCGCCTGCCAGCATGGGCACGAGGGAACTTCTGAGTCGACTCAAAAGTCATCTAGCTGCTCGCCTGCCAGCATGGGCACGAGGGAACTTCTGAGTCGACTCAAAAGTCATCTAGCTGCTCGTCTGCCAGCATGGGTACGAGGGAGCCATTGCCTTCCCCGTACGGGTACGAGTCAGACACGGCCCACAGCTGGCGGATGAGAATGACGCGGCGGGTGTTATTGACGATTTCACACCTATTCAAGCCTGGTTCAGTGATCCAAAGGCAGCACCTGCCACTCTAGCTGCTCGCCTGCCAGCATGGGTACGAGGGAGCCATTGCCTTCCCCGTACGGGTACGAGTCAGACACGGCCCACAGCTGGTGGATGAGAATGACGCGGCGGGTGTTATTGACGATTTCACACCTATTCAAGCCTGGTTCAGTGATCCAAAGGCAGCACCTGCCACTCTAGCTGCTCGCCTGCCAGCATGGGTACGAGGGAGCCATTGCCTTCCCCGTACGGGTACGAGTCAGACACGGCCCACAGCTGGCGGATGAGAATGACGCGGCGGGTGTTATTGACGATTTCACACCTATTCAAGCCTGGTTCAGTGATCCAAAGGCAGCACCTGCCACTCTAGCTGCTCGCCTGCCAGCATGGGTACGAGGGAGCCATTGCCTTCCCCGTACGGGTACGAGTCAGACACGGCCCACAGCTGGCGGATGAGAATGACGCGGCGGGTGTTATTGACGATTTCACACCTATTCAAGCCTGGTTCAGTGATCCAAAGGCAGCACCTGCCACTCTAGCTGCTCGCCTGCCAGCATGGGTACGAGGGAGCCATTGCCTTCCCCGTACGGGTACGAGTCAGACACGGCCCACAGCTGGCGGATGAGAATGACGCGGCGGGTGTTATTGACGATTTCACACCTATTCAAGCCTGGTTCAGTGATCCAAAGGCAGCACCTGCCACTCTAGCTGCTCGCCTGCCAGCATGGGTACGAGGGAGCCATTGCCTTCCCCGTACGGGTACGAGTCAGACACGGCCCACAGCTGGCGGATGAGAATGACGCGGCGGGTGTTATTGACGATTTCACACCTATTCAAGCCTGGTTCAGTGATCCAAAGGCAGCACCTGCCACTCTAGCTGCTCGCCTGCCAGCATGGGTACGAGGGAGCCATTGCCTTCCCCGTACGGGTACGAGTCAGACACGGCCCACAGCTGGCGGATGAGAATGATGCGGCGGGTGTTATTGACGATTTCACACCTATTCAAGCCTGGTTCAGTGATCCAAAGGCAGCACCTGCCACTCTAGCTGCTCGCCTGCCAGCATGGGTACGAGGGAGCCATTGCCTTCCCCGTACGGGTACGAGTCAGACACGGCCCACAGCTGGCGGATGAGAATGACGCGGCGGGTGTTATTGACGATTTCACACCTATTCAAGCCTGGTTCAGTGATCCAAAGGCAGCACCTGCCACTCTAGCTGCTCGCCTGCCAGCATGGGTACGAGGGAGCCATTGCCTTCCCCGTACGGGTACGAGTCAGACACGGCCCACAGCTGGCGGATGAGAATGACGCGGCGGGTGTTATTGACGATTTCACACCTATTCAAGCCTGGTTCAGTGATCCAAAGGCAGCACCTGCCACTCTAGCTGCTCGCCTGCCAGCATGGGTACGAGGGAGCCATTGCCTTCCCCGTACGGGTACGAGTCGGGCACGGCCCACGGCTGGCGGATGAGGGTGATGCGGCGGGAGTTGCGAGGCAGGCCGTAGAAATCAGGTCCGTTGAAGCTCGTGAAGGCCTCGAGCTTGTCCAGTGCGCCTGCCTGCTCGAATGCCCGGGCGTAGAGAGGCAGGGCGGCGTGCGCAGAGAAGATCCCGGCGCAGCCACATGGTGCCTCCTTAGTGGTGCGCTCGTGAGGTGCGCTGTCGGTGCCGAGAAAGAAACGAGTGCTGCCGCCCGTCACTGCAGCCACTATCGCCTGGCCTGGTAAGGGGGAAGGCGGAAGGAGAAAGGAGGAGGACGGAGGAGGAAGAAGGAAGAAGGAAGAAGGAAGGAGGAAGAAGGAAGAAGGAAGAAGGAAGGAGGAAGAAGGAAGAAGGAAGAAGGAAGAAGGAAGGAGGAAGAAGGAAGAAGGAAGAAGGAAGAAGGAAGAAGGAAGAAGGAAGAAGGAAGGAGGAAGGAGGAAGAAGGAAGAAGGAAGAAGGAAGAAGGAAGAAGGAAGAAGGAAGAAGGAAGGAGGAAGAAGGAAGAAGGAAGAAGGAAGAAGGAAGAAGGAAGGAGGAAGGAGGAAGAAGGAAGAAGGAAGAAGGAAGGATGAGGAACGAGGAGAACACAGATTTAGGAACGCACTTGAGGAGAAGCAAGAAAGAACGAAATATTTACAAGTGACTATCTGTCGTCTCCCTTTGATCAGCATGCGAGTCTCGTCTTCCTCACCACCTCTCATGAAACAACGAGACTCACGGTGTGTCTCCCGCTTGAGGACAGGCAAGCAGAAGTGGTGGGGCCGAATGCGCCCACTGAACAGAGCGTTGCGGTTCCACAGCAGGTGCTGTGGCAGTCCCTTTCCTCTCAGTGAAACTTACGGTGGGTCTCCCGCTTGAGCATGGGCAGGCAGAAGTGGTGCGGGCGGATGCCCCCCGTGAACAGAGCGTTGCGATTCCACGGCAGGTGCTACAACAGTACCTCTCATCGCAGTGAAACTTACGGTGGGTTTCTCTTTTCAACACGGGCAGGCAGAAGTGGTGCGGGCGGATGCCCCCTGTGAACAGAGCGTTGCGGTTCCACAGCAGGTGCTGGGGGGTCACTGTAGCAGCCACCCGCCCCTCAGGTGCTTTCAACACAAACTCGACCGCATCTGCGGTGGTGACATGCTCGAGAACCACTCGCAGGGAGGGCAGGCGGGCTAGCAGGGGCGAGAGCACTCGATGGATGAACTCCTTCTCGCGATCGAACATGTCGACTGATGGATCCACCACTTCTCCATGCAGCTGTGGGGGGGGAGTGGGAGGGGGAAGGAAAGGGGAAGGGAGTGGACAGGCACGTGCTGTGGACTAGCAGAGGCGAGAGGACTCGATGAATGAACTCCTCGCGGTCGAGCATGTCGACTGATGGATCCACCACCTCACCATGCAGCTGGGAAAATCAACGGGGGAGACAGAGGGGCGGGGGGAGTGAGTGGGGAAGGAGAGGGTGGGAGGGGGTAAGTCGACCGCATGTGAGGGCAGGCGGGGCCAGCAGGGGCGAGAGGAGCATGTCTTTCCCACGGTGGATGATCTCTCTCTCGCAGCCCAACATGTCGACTGATGAGTCCACCACCTCCCCGTGCACCAGCAGGGGCGAGAGGAGTCGGTCGGTGGATGAACTCTTTCTTGCGGTCGAACCTGTGTCGACTGATGGGTCCCCCACCTCCCCGTGCAGCTGGGAAACTCAACGGGGGAGACAGAGCGGCGGGGGGAGTGAGTGGGGAAGGAGAGGGTGGGAGAGGGTAAGTCGACTGCATGTGAGAGCAGGCGGGCTAGCAGGGGCGAGAGGAGTCGGTGGATAAACTCTTTCTTGCGGTCGAACCTGTGACGACTGATGGGTCCCCCAGCTCCCCGTGCAGCTGGGAGTGGAGGGAGAGGGAGGGGGGGACAGGGAAGGTTGTAGTGTTGGCTTCCCTAATAGCAGAGGCGAGAGCACCCGGTGAATGGAATCTTTCTTGCCCCCTCCCAAACTCACGAGCAGCGGCATGCCAATCTGCGCCATGTGCTGAATGGCAGGGAAGCAGCGCCCAAAGAGGTCCGTCACTCCCGCTGCTGAGTTGGTCGTCGCTCCCGCAGGGTACAGCTTGAATGCCACCACTAGGCCCCCGTCCTCTAAATGCGGGGTCAAGGGAGGGAGGGAGGGAGGGACGGGGAGAGGAATGGAGAGATCGAGGGAAGGAGAGAGCAGTGACAACGAAGTCGTTGCTCCCGCGGGGTACAGCTTGAACGCATGGGGGTTGGTGAGAGAGGGAGTGAGGGAGGGAGGAGGGAGGGAGGGAGGGAGGGAGGGAGGGAGGGAGGGAGGGAGGGAGGGAGGGAGGGAGGGAGTGAGGAAGGGAGGGAGGGAGGGAGGGAGCATTGAGAACGCACAACAAGCATCGGCAATGGAGTGACAATGGGAGTTGGTCGTCACTCCCATGCACGGGGTACAGCTTGAACAGCACCACCACGCTTCTGCTCTCTGGATGGGGGTTGAGGAAGGGAGGGAGGAGAGCAGCAGAGTGTTTGAACAAATGAGCAGTGCGAGCAAAGAGAATGCGGTGTGGTGTGGCACGGTGTGTTTTGGTGTGGTGCAGTGTGGTGACAGGTGTGAGATAGAGCATCATGAGTGGCTCAAAGCCCGCCTTCCCTCCCCAAACTGCCTCTTTCCACGCACACCAGTCCCAACGCACTCACTCGCTTTCTGCACCTCTTCCGGTGTGGTGTCATCTGTAAGGTACAGCGTCATCAACGGCTTAAAGCCCTCCTCCCCTCGCCTCCCCTCTGGCACCGCTGCCAGCACCCGCTTGCGGTACTCTGCTGCTGCCAGTGCGGTGGTGACCGGTGGGCGCAGGTTGGGCATGATGACTGCTCGGTGGAAGACGGCCGCGCTGCCGGGAAGGGGGTAGGGGGGAGGAGGAGGGGTAGGTGGGGGAGAGGGGAAGAGGAGGGGAAGAGGGGGAGGGGAGGAAGGGTGGAGGAAGGGTGGAGAAAGGGGGAGAGAGGGGAAGAAATGGGGAGCAGGGGGGAAGAGGGGGAACAAGAGGGGGAGAGAGGAGGGGGATGGTGTGCATGCGATTCTCTAAGACGAAGACAGACACCTGGCACCTGAAGTTCTACCTGAGATTTCACCTGAGCTCTCACCTAAACGGCACAACGGATTGCAGCGCAGCGCCATCCCGCACGTGCAGGTGCCAGTCGTCGGGCTGCGTAATCTCTAGCCGCTCCACCCCCACAGAATCCGCCGCCGATTGCGCTCGCACCGCCGCCATAGATTGCTTACGTCCTGTGGAAGAGAATCCTTGGCTTGAGTGGCAGGAGACTAGGCGGATGCTTCGATAACGGGAGTCAGAGGAAGGGAAATAGTCGCGCCGTGAGAACGGTCGGCGAAGCGCATTGGTGTGCAAGTGATCGGGAAACGAAACGAGGCGAGAAGGAGTTACGTCGCGCTGCGAGAGCGAGGAATGAGGGTTCGGGGTTTGGGGGAAGAGATTGTTTGCGGGATGCGCGGAGATCGCACTCGCCATAAGAGCGGATTAAAAGGTAGTTATTGTTCGCCGCACGCCCTTGTATGCTGCGAGCGATAGACGCTTCGGAATCCGTTCGGGGAATTTCGGGGCTGATAATGGCGGGGACGGTTGTGCGAAACCAACTGATCCGCAACGATGTGATATGGGATACGAGTATTTGCGCTTTGAAAAAAATGTTTATACTTCATTTTCTTGTGAAAATTGTTATGGAGAATCATTGGCGGATTGACTTGCCTGTATGGTGAATACTTGAGATTCACCTGCGTTTCGCCTGAACTACAATCCACCTGCTTCAGCTGTACCTGCTGACGTGGATATCTGCTGTTCACCTGCATCTGTCTACTGCATGAACACTGTCGCGAGTTTCGTCAAAAGATCCAACGTGTGCTGTCTGCTTTCGCCATAACCATTCGATCGCCGCCACACGCACCCCCACCTCCAACCACACCCAGCCAGCCAAGACTTGTCTGGTCGGAGTTGACAAACAGCGCTGCAACTCAACATGACTTTTCGAATCGCATCGTGTGCCAGGAAATGCCCAACTGGTCACTAGATTTTTTATGTGATGCAAAGCGGTCATTGTAGCAAACGCCGTAGTTTTGTGCGTTCCAGTGAGTTAAGCTGGTGTGATCGTACTGTAACTGCACCAGAATACAATGCGGAATGCACTACTGTAACCAGCACAAGGACAGCTACAAGCGGGGAAAGCCCCACCTTCCCCGCCTCAGGGCAACAGCTCCCACTTCCCTCCGTTGCTCTTCCCGTCTCCCGTCGCTCCCTCCCTTTTTCCCAAAAAACTCCCACATTCTAACCAGCAAACGCGTTAGCTAACTCGCTCTGGTTTTCAGAACTCCGATTCGTGTCCGAACAAGACTAGTTGCGGTCGCGAGGGCCTAGCTTAGTGGGCAGTATTTAATCGTCGCGAAGATCACGCCCCACGAGAATGCGCGCAGCCCTCCACGGGTGAATAGCATGTCAAGGGCCAGAATGGGGCTTAGAAGTGTACGGCTAACGAGATCATTCGCGTTAGTCTCGCTGCTGGCGACGCTTGCGATAATCGCGATGCTGGTAACCGGAGCTGCGGCGCTGGATGTATGTCCTGACGACGATTCTCTGGTGCGTGTTGCGCCGCTGCGGGATGCTGGGAGTTGCTGTTGATGCCAATGTTCGTGTGCTCTGCTCTTCTCTTCTCTGCTCTTCTCTGCTCTGCTCTTCTCTTCTCTGCTCTTCTCTTCTCTGCTCTTCTCTTCTCCGCTCTGCTCTCCTCTGCTTTGTTCCGAATACATTTCGTGCGCGCCCGACAACCGACGAGTGCATGAGAGACACGCAGGAGCTCGACTCGGAAGCCTAAAAAGTCGACCTGAAATTCCCCTTCCCCCTCTCCCTGCACCTTTCGCTGCCTTACGTCGCAGTTCGTGTGCGCGACGACCGACGAGTGCATAAGCGACACGCAGGTGTGCGACGGGTCGCCCAACTGCAGCGACGCGGATGCGCCTTCCGACGAGGACTCCGCGTTCTGCGCGACCTGGGAGTGCCCCAGCGGGTGGAGCAAGTGCGACGACGGCTTGCAGTGTTACGAGGAGAGTCGCATGTGCGACGGCTCGCGCGACTGTAACGATGGGAGCGACGAAGAGGGTTGCGACACTAATGAGGGTGACACGACTCCTGTTGCTGGAACGCCTCAAACGGGAACACCTGATACGGGAACGACTGATACGGGAACGACTGATACGGGAACGACTGATACGGGAACGACTGATACGGGAACGGCTGATACGGGAGCGGCTGATTCGGGGACGGCTGATTCGGGGACGGCTGATTCGGGGACGGCTGATTTGGGGGCGGCTGATTCGGGGACGGCTGATTCGGGGACGGCTGATTTGGGAACGGATGATACGGGAACAGATGATACGGGAACGGATGCTACGGGAACGGATGATACGGGAACAGATGATACGGGAACGGATGATACGGGAACGGATGAAACGGGAACGGATGACACGGGAACGTCTGATACAGCAGCACCAGGTGATGAAACTGAAACTGGCGAAGCAACATCGACGGACGGAAGCGTTCCGGCAGATGAAACTCCTCCTGGAGATGAAACCGAAAATACAGGAGATGCAACTCCACCTCCGCCGGCGAACGAAGACACGACCCCCCCAGGAGATGTAGCTCCACCTCCGCCGCCAGCTGACGTGGACAATCCAGGTGGAGATGAAACCCCTGGTGGTGCTCCACCAGGTGATTCGTCAGGGTCGGGGGAAGGTTCACAGGAACCTTCGGAAGGAGCAGGGGAAGGGGGAGAGGGAGGGAGTGAGGGGGGAAGCGGAGAGGTGGGGGGAAGCGGAGAGGAAGGTGGGAGCGGAGAGGCGGGGGGAAGCGGAGAGGAGGGGGGAAGTGGAGAGGAGGGGGGAAGTGGAGAGGAGGGGGGGAGTGGAGAGGAGGGGGGAAGTGGAGAGGAGGGGGGAAGTGGAGAGGAGGGGGGAAGTGGAGAGGAGGGGGGAAGTGGAGAGGAGGGGGGAAGTGGAGAGGAGGGGGGGAGTGGAGAGGAGGGGGGAAGTGGAGAGGAGGGGGGAAGTGGAGAGGAGGGGGGAAGTGGAGAGGAGGGGGGAAGTAGAGAGGAGGGGGAAAGTGGAGAAGGAGAGGAAGGAGATGGGGAGGGAAACGACACAGAAGAGGGCGGTGATGGAGGGGAGGAGGATGGCTCAGGGGATGAAGATTCAGGTGAATCTGAAGAAGAACCTGAGACGCCACCTCCCCCACCTCCACCTGAGAAACAGCTCTCTCCCCTGGAGCAGAAAAAAGCGGGAGTATCAGAAGGCTGCACAGGCAGCCGAGGCTGCTAAGGCCGATGCTGAAAAGGCCAATGCGATTGCCCAGCAGAGGGAGAAAGACGCAGAGACAGCCCAAGCGCGGGCAGAGAAAAAAGCAAGAGAAGCCAAAAGTTCTAGGGGTGGGACGAGCGGGAAGAAGAGGCGGGAGGAGGCGAAGCAAGCGCAGAAAGAGGCCGACGCTGCGAGGGCCAGAGCGGACCAGGCGAGAGAGGAGGCAGATGGGAAGGAGGAAGCTGCTGCGGAGGCTGCGAACACAGTGGAGGAGAAGCGGCAGGAGCTTGTGGATGAAGCAGAGAGGAGCAAGCCAGAGCTAGAGGATAAGAAGAGGAGAGGGACGGCCCGGAAGGACGCGGCTCGGGCCGAGCGAGACGCAGCGAAGGAGAAGAAGGAGGAGAAGAAGAGGACGTTCAGAGAGAGGGTGGCTGCGGCCCGGCTGGCCCAGATGGCTGAAAAGGCCAGCGCTGCCGCCGCTGCTGCAGCAGAGAAGCAGGCAGCGGCGGATAAAGCGATGGAGGCTAAGCAACAGGCGGATGCTGAGGTGGATCGGCTGGTTTCAGCTAAGAGTCAGGCGGAGGATGCGGCGAGGGAGGCCGGGGAAGCGCAGGCTGCAGCGGAGGCGGCGGCACGGGAGGCGGTGGACGCCGGTGATGAGAGGTTGAGTGCGGTGAAGTGGGCAGAGGCTGCGGATGCGCTGGGGTTGAAGTGGGAGAAACAGACGGAGGTGGAGCGAGTGAAGAGGGAGTTGGTTGTGGCTAAGGCGGCAGCTAAGCTAGCTGCCAAGGAGGCTGTGTTGAGGCAGCAGGCAGCTGCTCGGGCGGCAAGTGAGGCGCAGAAAGTCGGCGGCAAAGTGGGCGGGGGCGGTGCGGGTGGTGGAACCGGTGGTGATGCTGGTGGTGATAGTGGTGGTGATGGTGGTGGTGATGGTGGGTCTACTGATCCAGGAGGTGACACAAACGAGGGTGGGTCTAGTGACACAAGCAGTGGTACCAGTGCAGGATTAACAAAAAAAAGTGTTCCATTATCTGACCATAGGGTAAGTGTTGGGGTTAAAATGACCTTAACTGATGGTGTTGTTGGTGGTGGTGCTGGTGGTGGTGGTGGTGGTGGTGGTGGCAACAAAGAGGGTAAGGCAAGAAACAGGAAGGTGGATGTTGGTGGCTGATAATAGGAACTTGTACTGAATATTCCCGTTTGGAGTTTTTGCTTCATATAATGATATAAGTTGTACAGTACCGTATGTATCTTAACCTGCTGTTGACCTGATGGTGCAAAGATGGTGAAGAGGTAAATTCGATTTCTGTAGTACCGTGTGCTCATAATATAGTGAAGTGGTTGTGATGGGAAAAGCCGCATCTACACCATCCCATCCCGCGCCACGATATAAGCTGACGCCTGGTTGGTTGGTAGCATGTGCTTCGGGACAGGAACCATAACCCTGATGAAGCATTCGCTCATTGGCTCTCTCTCCAGTCCAGAGTCGCAGACGTTATTAACGAAGTGGGGCACAAGGTGACGCCGTCGCCAGGGAGTGGAAGGGTCAGGTCAGAAGAATCCTGCACAGCACACATCGTGCATCGCGCGAATCGCTTTCGCTTGATTACGCCGCAATCCGACGCGCATCGCGCATCGCATCGCCAACAGGGTGGGTGGGTGGGTGGGTGGGGGAGTGGGGGGGTGGGGTGGGTCGGGGGAGGTGAGAGAGAGGGGTAATCCTTCTCGTCCAGAGCGAATAGAGCAGTTGGGACCCCGGGCAAGCAGGGAGGAAACAGGGCAAGGCTATGCTAGAATCTCGGAAGGTGTGTGAGCGGGTGGGGGGGAGGAGAGAGAGCGGGAGTAATCCCTCTGGTAGTGAGAAGCAAGAGCAGCTGGAACGGTGGGCAAGCAAGGAGGAAACAGGGCGAGAGGCCGTTGAAGGGGTTGAGATGGGAATACTGTCTTTTATCACAGGAACAGATCGCGCGAGGCCGCAGAAAGGAAGGGAGAGAACGGGTGTATGAAGGGGATGGGATGGGATGGGACGGGACGGGACGGGACGGGATGGGATGGGATGGGATGGGATGGGACGGGACGGGACGGGACGGGACGGGACGGGATGGGATGGGATGGGATAGGATGGGATGGGATGGGATGGGATGGGATGGGATGGGATGGGATGGGATGGGATGGGATGGGATGGGATGGGATGGGATGGGATGCGATGGGATGGGATGGGATGCGATGGGATGGGATGGGATGGAATGGGATGGGATGGGATGGGATGGGATGGGATGGGATGCGATGGGATGCGATGCGATGGGATGGGATGGGATGGGATGGGATGGGATGGGATGGGATGGGATGGGATGGGATGGGATGGGAAGTGATGGGATGGGATGGGATGGGATGGGATGGGATGGGATGGGATGGGATGGGATGGGATGGGATGGGATGGCATACGTGAACAGAACCGGGGGAAGTGAGAAGGAAGAGAGTGGGGAAGGGGCGAGGGGAGCAGCGGGAGGACAGTGGCTGAGGACAGGAGGAGGTCAGAGAGTGGGAGCGGAAAGTAGAAACGCAGTGGGAGCTGGTAAGTTGGGATGGGTGGGTGATGATGGGGAATGGCGGGTGAGGGACGGTAATGCGAGGTGACAGATCGGGGGGAAAGAGGGGTGAGCAACGAGGGGCGGAATGATGGATAAGCGGAAGGAATGAGGCGTGAGCGGAAGAGGGGAACGAGGGGTGCGCGAAGTCGGCGAGCAACGGGGGGAAATGAGGGGTGAGTGACGGGAGGGAATGAGGGGTGAATGATGGGGGGGAAATGGTTGGTGAGCGAAAAGGGGGAAATGGGGGATGAGCGACAGCGGAGAAATGAGGGTGAGCAAATGGGAGAAACAAAGGGTGAGTGAAAGCGGGGAAATGAGAGGTGCGTAAAGCAGGGAAATGAGAGGTGAGCGAAGGGGGGAATCAAGGGGGAGAGAGACGGGGAATGTGAGGTACTGAGGGCCGAGCGACGGGGGGAACTGAAGAGTGAGCGACGGGGGGAACTGAAGAGTGAGCGACAGGGAAATAGGGGGTGAACGACGGGGAATGTGAGGTAAGCGAGGAGGATGCAGGGTGCGTGAGCATGAAATGAAAGGTAAGTAATGAATGAATGCAGGGGGAGCAAATGGCGGGATGAACAACGAAGGGTAAACGACTGGAAAGCGATATAGCGACGAGCGGTGACCGCGGGAGGAATGAGGGATGGGCGCAATGCAAATGTCAAGAAATTCAGGACGAGGGGTGATTAGGGGCAAGTGGGAGTGCAAGGGCGAGGTCCAACTCAAAAGACCTCTCCTGCCGTGAAGGTGCTGAGAGCATCCCCAAACCCTAGCTGCCCGGCAATATGGCGAAAGGTGAGAGCGTCGGCGAAGCGTCGGCGAAAAGAGAGTGCGTCGGCGAAAGGAGGCGGGGAGAAGAGGGCGAAAGCGGGTGGGAAGGGAAGCTCGCAGTTTGCGACGCGCTGTAGATTGTGCTACGAACTTATTGGACCGCTTAACGAGTGCGGAGTCCGTCAAGAATAGATCTGCTTCGCGCGATGGTTTGGTTATACGAAATCGACAGCACATAACTCGCGATCATACTAGATAAATAGTCAGCAGAGTCGCAGGTCCTTACTACCATTCGCCGCGCTACTTCTCGCTAAGGCGCAACGCTACTATGACATGTGGCGACTAGGTGAATGGCGATACTACAAGAGGAGTGGAAATCGAAAATGGCAGATCTGAGCAGGCGTGGCAAATTGGAAAACCATTTCTGAGCCGGTGGTGGTGTGCCACCCAACCGAAACACCATCCCGGCGGTTCCGTTGTGATTTCTTTCTGCCCGGATTGTTTCCCTCGATTTCCTTCCCTTCCCCTCTAGGCCTTTTGATTGGGCCTCGCAATTTTCTCCATCCCAACCCCTTCCTTGCACCTGCCCAGAAACCGATTTGACACGAGCAAAATTGATCGCAACCAATGAATTCTCTTTTTTTGCATTGATGCCGTCCCGCACCTCACGCAAGGTGCTAGACTATGAACCACTAACACGTCAAGCAAGCGTGACATGCCCAGCGCTTAGAATATCCACACTCTCGATCAAATGAATCATTTGAAGTTGAACGTACTGTAACTGAACCAGAATAACAACAAAAGTGTTTCCCACAAACCTGCAATCACACAGAAACAGCCACAATGGAGGATTACCGCACTGTTCCTACCTGCCACCACTGTTCCGGATTGACCCGAATTTTGGCGCTTCAGCCACGATGGGGGATGGGCGTACTGTTCCCTTCCCTCCCTGCGACCACGATTCTGACTCTTCTGTGCTGTTCTTCTTCACCTAAATTTGGCGCTTCTGGATTTTCATGACCTACAGTGAACAGCGTCAGTTTTCATCTCAACCGCTCACGTTTTACGGCAGCATCTCCACCCTTGGTTCAGCCTCTACGCTTCGCAAACCTCAGCCCAGCACCTGTGTCAGCTTGTCATGCCACGCGATTCCAACCACGCGATTCGAGCGGTGATTCCATCATTCCAAGCCTCGCTGCAAGTTGTCCCTCGCTGCAGCTTCATATTGGGTTGAGTTGTGAGCTTCAATTAGAAGACTTGAAGACTGCTTCGACGGCCTGCTCAACGTGGAAGACTTGAAGACTTGGGGACTACAGCGCCTCTCCACGGCTGAAGGAGCACAACAAGAGGCGTTTCCATCGTGCCTTTCAGGGTACTCAAGAACGCGCGCGCGTGAAGACTAAAGAGGCGGTTTCAAGTTGTGCGTTTCAGGCACACAAGATCAAGCGAGGCGTTTTCAAGTTGTGCGTTTCAGGCTCACAAGATCAAGCGAGGCGTTTTCAAGTTGTGGCGTTTCAGGCACACAAGATCAAGCTTGAGGAGTTCCTGCCGAGGAGTTTCCCTTGTGCCTTTCAGGCATTCAAGAACGAGCGCTCGTGAAGACCAGAAGAGGCGCTTTTCACTCGTGCGTTTCAGGTACACAAGGAGCCGCGGAGGATTTTATCGCTTCCCTATCTCCTCTATTCGTTCTTCTCCCCCCTCAGATCACGGGAGGAGCACCACGGTCCGATCTTCTCCACGGTGAGCTTCCTTCCGCCTTTGCTTTCAGTTTTTATTGTTATTTCAGTCTTTGTTGTTGTTCTTTATTTTCTTTTCTTTTTTTTACTAACTTACCCTTTGGTTTCTTCCTCTGCGCTGCAGGTTTAGCATGGAGCCGCGGCGTATCACCCTCCCTTCTCCTCTGTTTCTTCCTCTCCCCCCTTAGATCACGGGAGGAGGACGGTCAGATCTACTCCGTTTATAAGGTAGTAACGGTGAGCTCCCTTTCTCCTTTGCTTTCAGTTTTTGTTGTTGTTTCTGTCTTTGTTGTTGTTCTTTTTCTTTTCTTCACCTGTTTTTACTAACTTACCCTTTGGTTTCTTCTTCTGCGCTGCAGGTTTAGCATGGAACCGCGACGTATCACCCTCCCTTTCTCCTCTGTTTCTTCCTCTCCCCCATTAGATCACGGGAGGAGGACGGTCAGATCTACTCCGCTTATAAGGTAGTAACAGTGAGCTCCCTTTCTCCTTTGTTTTCAGTTTTTTGTTGTTGTTTCTGTCTTTGTTGCTCTTATTTTTGTTCTTTTCTTGTTTTTACTAACTTACCCTTTGGTTTCTTCCTCTGCGCTGCAGGTTTAGCATGGAGCCGCGGCGTATCCACCCTCCCTTTCTCCTCTGTTTTTTCTCCTCCCCCTTAGATCACGTGAGGATGAACGCCCAGCGGACAAGGCGCCTTCTTCGACAAGGAGGTGTAAGATTTTATCGTACTGATGTTTCTGTTTTGTTTCTGCAACTGTTCTGCTTGTTTCATTGTTTTGTTTTGCTTTTCTTTGCTTTGTTTTGTTTTGTTGCGATCGTATCACCTTCTCTTCTCTCTTTTTTCCACCCCAGGTCACGCTGAAGACCAGCATCTGCGGAACCAACAGACTGAACGTTCGGCGAGTTAGATCCGGCGACGCACGAACAGACTGACTAATAGGCCGAACGTTTAGATCCGCGACCTGGCGACGTGCGAACTGACAGACGAACGTTTAGATCCCGCGACCTGGCGACGTGCGAAACTGACAGACGAACGGTTTAGATCCGCGACCTGGCGACGTGCGAACTGACAGACG